GTTTCAGGGCTAAGCATTTTTTGTCAATGTAATAGTCTAGGTCAACTATTGTAACTCTTTTTGAAGTAATAAATATGAAATATTTGAGTATTACGTGAATTATGTGTGTTTATGCGTTTATTATTTAATTATAAATGTATAATTAATAAAGAATAAAAATAAGCATCAAAATTAAAGTGTGAGATAATCCTGATATCTCTACATAAAGTTGTAGAATATGTCTCAAGGTTTCCGTACATATAAAGAATGCCGAAATCCGAGCTATAACGAAGAAGTTATGGCCCGCCGAAGTTTTACAGCAAAACCGGCACGGTACCGGGAGACGTAAATAGTGAATTTACGATAGAAGACTTTTTAGCCTTAGCAATCTAAACAAAAGTCGTAGAAAGACAGACGAAAACGGAGTCCGTATGAAGGAGTTATGAACTCTTCGCGGTCATTTAACAGTCTAAACGCCTCCTACTGTTAAATTTAAGATTGGTCGAGAATTAGCCGACGGAATCTAAACAAAAGTTGTAGATCTTGATTTTACCTACGCGTGGATATAAAGAACGTCGAAAACGGAGCTCGTATGCGAAAGTTATGATTTTTCTAAGTTTAAGGGCTGATACGCGATAGGGGGTGACGTGGCACCACCAGAAGGCCACCACATGGACCAACTCGGCGAGTAGGTCCCCCAACTCGGCGAGTCCATCAGATTTCTCCCCTATAAATAGAGGTGTCGGGTTCCCTCATTTCCTCACCCCTCAACCCTCTTCTTTCTCTCTATAAGCCCCCTAACCCCCCTAAAAGCCTAGGTAAACCCCCTAGCACCCGAAAAAAGCCCTGAGGCTCCCGGAGTCCCAAGAAAATAGCCTTTTGGCTTGGGAACGCTGCTCCAGTGAAGCCCGGTTTTCGAGAAAAAACCGCTGTAAGTGAGCTGTACCTATCCTATCTTTAGTTTAGCTTATGTTTTAATATAGGAATGTTATTAGGTCTTTAAAATAACTATTTGGGCTATTATTATGAGTTATATTGAGTGTTATTAACGCTTATATAATAATAATAATAATAATAATAATAATAATAGTCAGACAATTAATTTGTCGTGGTTATCATTAGACTAAACCCTAGTGGTATCGATACTAGGTTTTATCGAAGGAATATCATTTTGAGAGTATCGAAGCGCTGTCCGAGTGCTGAGTCACCACCTAATCAGGTGAGTGCATAGTTACTTTCAACTTACACATAGATATGAAGTATTTTATATAAATTACGTGCTATGTGTGCATATTATTTGAATACTTGCTATCTATGCTAGATGAACGTTGTCATACATGTTTTCAATAATTTAAATTGTATATGTATTTTATATCTACGAAAATGTTGGGGTAAAACATGGGTAGATGTAATAGGTGATGTGTGATAAAATGATGAGAGCCCTCGATGTTGTTGCTGTTGATCCAGTCATCTAGCGGAGTATAGATGACGACCACGGACTCTTCTAGATAGTCCAGTGGAACACTAGCAGGCTCACAACCTGTAGGTGTTGTGAACGATGTGTTCACCGGTGTACTCCATCCCCTACATGGTTGCCTATTAGGACATTTATTGCTGAGGAATCCCCTTAGCAGTAGTGTCCGTCCCGATGATGATCCTTAGGCTAGGTCCCTTATGATAGGTGTTTAGGGACGTAAAGTGAGGATAACGGGAATGGGTAATCGGGCTATTGTTGATTGATGAAATTAATAAACTTATTTATTGTGGGTTGAAAACCATATGTGCTCACCAGGCTCCCAAGCCTGACCCACTCAGTTTTATGTATTACAGGTAGTGGCGCATGAGCATAGGTGTGATGTTTTGGACGAGGGATTACGGATATAGGCCTGTAGATATGAAATAATGTAGTAAGGCTTATATTGTACTGTTTATACTTTTGATCTGTACGAACATGACATCCCGAGTCTTTTAATGAAATACATTTCTATGGAAATGCTTTTGATAAATCTTTATCATATTATTGTTTTGGGACAAATTCCGCAATCCTTTTTATTAAAGGATAACTCTGATTTTGAAATAAAGTATAAACAAAACCGGTCTTTTCTGGCCATAATTTTGGGGATGTCACATGCCACGTCGTGGCCAACTGTGCCACGTCGTGGTGAGCAAATCTTATCCTCTTCTATTGATTGGACGCCCTCAGTCACTTGTTGGGTCGTGGCCAACTGTGCCACGTCGTGGCCAACCTGACAGCCTCGAATTTCGGGTCTCGAAATTGTAAGATCCGTAACTTTCGCATACGAGCCCCGTTTTTCGACATTCTTTATATGCACGCATAGGTGAGAATATACTCTACAACTCTCGTTTAGACTTTGTTGGCTAATTTTGACTTTATTTTTAATTATTTATTTTTAACAGACCGGGACTGAAAAAGCCCGTTAAAAATCCATAACTTCTTCATCCGACGTCCGTTTTTGCCAGACTTTTTTACCGTTGCACTACTTTGGTTGAGACCTTCGATTCTGATTTAGGTTGTTTCGGCCAAAAGTCTCTCGATCTTTATTTCGAGTTTTTAGCTGTCTACTGCTATATCCGGATCTTGGAAAAATCATAACTTCCTCATACGAAGTCAAATTTGGACGTTCTTTTTACATACGTTTACGGTTTAATGATATCTACAACTTCCATTTAGATACTTAAGGCTAAAAACTATTGTATTGAAAGTTCGCGTTTTTCGTTTAATCAGTGTTGCCGGTTTTGTCGGAAATCTTAGAATTGTCATAACTTCTTCGTTATAACTCGGATTTTAGTGTTCTTAGTATTTCTGTAAACCTTGACACAATATCTAGCATAGTAGGTAACTCAATAGAGACTTTTGTACATTTTATTTTCGAAGTTAATTTCATTATTTCAAAAGTGGTTACAATACTTGACTTTTTAGTTCATTACATAGAGTCGAAATATCGGGTTGTTACATCTACCAATACATGTTCTCACAAGGTGTCAAACACCATACTCCTCACATGGATGACTAAAGTTGGGACCTTTGGGCTGTAGGGACCTCACAAGGTCCAAATATGAGGTTTAAACCTCTAGATAACTTAGTATTCTCGAAGTCCCAAAAAAAAGTGATGAAAACCCTATCTTCTTAAACTCATGAAATCTAACCAAATAAAGGGGAAAGATTCAAGCTTTTTACCTTCCTCTTGAAGCTTTAGACGAAATGGCCTAAACCCCAACAACTCCTTGTTCCTTGCTGAACAAACTCCTCTTCCTCCTCAAAGATGCACTAAAATCCTTCAAGGTTAGCTTGGAGGCTCTCTTAGCTCACTACACTCGTTTAGGGTTTCACACAGTAAGGTTAAGCAGCTGATGAGCTGCAAATGAGACTATAAGTGCCCTTATATAGGCCCCAAACCTGGAGATTTAAGGTTTCACTTCCCAGTGTCTACTCGACGAGTCGACTCTCTGATGGATCCCACGTGGCACCAACTCGACTCTAAGGTTTCATCTACTCGACTCGTCGAGTAGATGATGGATCCCACATGGCACAATGTGACTCTACTCGACGAGTTGTAGCACCAACTCGCCGAGGCGATCAATGGTCTTCAAAATAAATAAATAGATAATATATCTGGGAGTTCAGATGTTACAAACTTATACACCCCGAGTACACGATCGATGTGAAGGGAATCAATATCAAGGTGCAGTACCCGTAGCATACTAGGTTTTACGCTCAGCGTACGCACCCTAAAGCCAAAACTCCCATTAAGGTCTCAATGCTTTAAGACCTTACGTCCAAACTTCAAATCAAAGCTTATTAAGACCTCTAAGGCCATAAAGGTGCAAATTTAATGTCTTTGGATGGCTACAAGGAGTCCAACACTAAGAAACTAACTTGTTCCATCCTTTTCTACACCATAATTATTGCATGAGGACAAATCAAGATCCAAGCTTGCAATTTTATGACTTAAAATGCCCTAAAATGTCTAAAATGACAGCTTAAAGGCTTTGGAGTACCTCATACTCACAAAGACCTAGGTTTTGGGGCAAAAAAGAAGAAATTCTAAGCTTAACCAAGATCTAGAAAAAAACATGAGCCAAGTTTGGAGCTTTATACCTCCAATTGATGCACAATGAATAGAAAATGTTGGATAAAAAGTCTTGAGAGCAAAGCCACGTCCTTGACGATCTTCCTTCACAACCAAGAAAACCCATAATTCACTCAAAAGCTCAAAATGCTCAAAATATATTAGGGTTTGCAAGGAGGGTCGCTTTTTTGGGATGGAGGTTGATAAGAGGAAGGGCTTTCGGACTATAATGGTGCTTATATAGTGCACAAACCCTAAATATTAAGGTTTGGTCCAAATTGCATACACGAGAGAGAGAGAGAGAGACCATTTAAATAACAAAAAACTTCATAAATACTCTTGTGGTAGTGAAATGACGAAAATACCCTTCGGTTAACAGACAAAGCTTAACAAATTGAGCAATAAGTGTCAAACATCAAAAGTTTTGAAAGCATAGAGACCAACCGTGAGATTTTTTAAACTTATGGACTACATGTCAACTTTCTAAAAAGCACAAGGACCATTTATGATATTTTTTTCTTTAGGCTTCTTCATTTTCAAAAACCAACAACCCTATTTTGTATTCTTTTCCCCCTCAACTTTTCTATTTTAAGACTTCAATAGTTAATGGAGAACTTGATTACTAAAATTTGGTGATTTTTAGAATTTCACTTATTTTAAAACAGTTAGGCGCCATGGATTTTTTTCTTTTTGTAATCACAGCCTTTGATCTGCTAAGATCAAACAGGTCAAGAGTATTATCAGATTCTCACCATGTGGATAGTTCACGAAGTGACACTGTTACGAACCAATAAATTTTCAAACAAATTCTCCAAATGTAAAATGCATATTATAACCAAATCCATAACAAAAGTAAGTTATGGAAAGTCTATTATTGAACTATATATACATAAATCATTATTCAATAAAAAGTTTAAATTTAAAACATGTTTACTCATCATCTTTGTAGGGATACTCCTCTGGAACTTGCTTCAGGAGCTTTACCTGTAACTCAAATGCATCATCTCCTTTAAGCATATCACGCACTCATGTGATTTCAGTCTTCATTGACACCTGAATATATCACACAATGTAATTTCTCACATAAAATTTCAATTACTCCCACTTCCCAAACAGAGAATGTACTTTATTTTTTTACCCATGATTGCAACATCTATATTTCTATTTAATTTATGCAACAACATTTCACCATTTTTTCCCAATTATGTAACAAAGTGGTTTTTTAACAAATTATACAACCACTTTTAGTTCTAGGAACAAAATATGCAACCTTGTAAACTGGTTTCCTAATACAGTTAAATGCTTGTTTATGCAATAACGTTTCATTTATATACCAATTTATATAAAAACATTGTTTTTGACACGAATTATGCAACCACATTTCATATTTAACATTTGAACCTTACTATATTGATTATATCTTGTAAAAATTCATTATTTGTGAAAAGGAAATTTTAAAACAGTTTATTACATATGGTTATTACGACTGATTTATCTATAAATTAGTTGATTTTAGTTATATCTTGTTATAAATGGTCATTTTATGACATCAACCCTATTCTAAATGGTCACATAAGTAAAATTAACTTTTGAGTAAATTGATTTTTGATTAAATCTTATTTACTTCTAAATAAATAGTAACTTCCATTTTGTAGCAAAAAAAAAGTGAAACATTTTACATAATTAAACATTTAACCCTTCTATTTAACTGCTATACAGCATTTCACTCAATCCAAAAGAACCGATAAGCAAAATTTAACTAACATGAGGAAAAGTTCAAAAAAAAAAAGAAAAGAAACAAAGCATACCATTTCTAGAGCTCCTCTGACTACTCCGCTTAGAATGTTGCAGTAATATAAACCTTGACAAGTATCTGGAAGCTCAACAAAATATATGAGCGGATTATCCTCCAAAATGAGGCTACAAGACGTTCCTTCTGAATCCCAGTTAGTCATAGATGCAGTCACCCCTAAAAACATTTTGAACCCAACCTGTTTACAAGTCATAGATTAAGACTCCATAGAAGACACTTGATGCTCTCTCTATTAAGTGGAAATCATGTTTGTTTATTTTGGTCAAGTACGAGTTCCTAACAGATTTATTCAAGGTCCCACAGAACCATTGAAGCAGAAACGAATACCATGTGTAAACACCTGGAAGACATTGCCAAACAATATTTGAAGATCATTGAAAGTGCAAATGGGCACAAGTGAAGAAGAGTTACCTTTGCGATGACTTCAGCTGTCTCCCTAAAATTAACACATCTAGTGACATTAGATTTTGCAAGGAACTCATCAATCAGACGGATCCCAATATTATAACCCCTGGTGAAGAAAAAAAGGTCAGATAATGAGAGCAAGTATAATCAATCTGAAAACAATAAAAACCATTCATGTATACATTTGATCGAGCTGCTTATTGACTTCCTCAACCTCCTCCAGATCCGTAAGCAACTGTCGAACGATCGCTCCATACGTCAGAGTGAACAGCTCAGAGTTCTGCGAACAATGTCAATCACATTAAGGAAATCATGAAATAATTTAGCAATAAAAAATGTAAATCGAGCACCGAGATTATCCTGTGCATTGACTTCTGACGCGGAGAACTTACCACACGCTCAACATTAGCGAAAATCGCATCTCCAGATCTAGGAACAGCAGGAGCCATCGAAGTCTATGATTAGTTCTTTCCTAATACCGTCGTGCTTATGTGCGCAAATTCTTCTGTATCTTCTAGTATCAATCGAATTATAGAAATGTCAACTAATTACGCAAAACATGGGACGTACAAAATCTATCGAGGCATGTGAAACAACATTAAAATCATGGAAAGTGAATATAATAGATTTAAAAGAAATAATAGCATGAACGGATAGACGAATACGTGGAATCCGGTGAGTCGCGTCGGAGATTTTGAACGGACTGTTCGCCGTTCACTGTCTGAGATGGAGAGTTAACAAATAGAGGGAGAAGCGGAATTATGCGTTAACGAGAACGGGGCTGAAGGGGTTCAATTAAAGTGCTCGAACTCCTCTCCGGAAACAAGGTAAAGGAAAGAATAGTCGCAAAAAATCTGAGGTTTTTTTGGGATTAAACATTAATTTTTAAAAAAATATATATTTTTAGACAAAATTATATAAATGGTCCTATGGTGATCAAGAATCATACCTTTAGTTCTTTTTAATTTTCTTGATACGAGTGGTTTGGGGGTTTCAAAACTTACATAAATAGTCTCTGTTATTTCTAAAATTTACAGTAATAGTCTTGAGCTACAAAAATTGACTTATTTGCTCTTACTTGGTTTTTTTTTTATCTTTTTTCTTAAACTATATTTAATTATTGAAAAATAAAAATACAAATAAACCCCTACCTACCCTCACCTCACTGCTCTTACTTGGTTTCTTTTATCTTTTTTTTAAACTATATTTAATTTTTGAAAAATAAAAATACAAATAAATCTCTACCTACCCTCACCTCACTCCCACCCCCACTTTGTTATTCTCGTTCTCTCTCTGGCTCACTCTATGGATCATACTCATATGTTGATTCTTTTCCCCCGTCGACTACCCTAATCCATCCTCAAATTGCCGCTCCAAAACATCCAATGTCACTGCTTCTCTTCATCTTCACCAGCATTCCTCACCTGGAATTGAGAAATTATGTTAAAGCTTACAAGTGAATCTCTTGTTTTAGATTGTGATTTTATAACATTTTTCTCATTATAGATAGGGTTGTGGATCTTATTACTAATTGGGTGATTCCATTACAGACGTCGATGAATTTTTTTTGGTGAGAAGTGAGGAATCATGTAACACCCAAAGTTTGGAAAGCCTAGAAAAGAAAGAAAACCCCAATTTTAAGGGGAGACTCGGCGAGTCCGAGCGGGATTCGGGTCGAGGTGTAAGCGACCGACTCGGCGAGTCGGCCAAGGTGACTCGGCGAGTCTGGTCTGAGCAAGGAAAACCCTAAATCCGGGACTTGGAGCTTATTTAAACGTCTCATTCTCTTCCCTAAGGTTCCTTTACTGCCTCTCTAGCACAGAACACTAAACCCTAGCCGCCATAATCGTTTTGGAGCAAGATCTAACCCTTGGTGAAGCTCTTTGGAGCTTGAGAGAGAGGATAGTCATTGTGGAGCAAGATGGGGGCCTTGGATCCAGAGTTGGTGGAGCATTTCTGAGCATTTAAAGGTAATAAATTGTTACCTTCCCTCTTTTGTTTAATAGACCAACCTTGGCTATGAGATTTGGAGCTTTTATGCCATGCTTAAGAACTATTTCGAGTTAGAAGCCCAGATCTGAAGTTGCTACTTCAGATTTGAGTGTATCTTGGCCTAAAAAGTCATAAAGCATCTGTTCTTGGGTTGATAGTGAAGCCTCTTTGTCTTAAACCCTAGTTTGGATTGTTTTAAGCCTAGATCTATTGATCTACACGTAAAGTTTGCCACTTTACGTGAGGGATAGGCCCTAGAAGTATGGATCCATGAGTTGGAAGCCCTGTTTGGCTCGAAAAGCCACTGCATGGATTAAGGACTGAATAGACTCGGCGAGTCCTTTGAGTGGACTCGGCGAGTAGTATGAAGATGGAGGCGAACTCGACGAGTTGGATGAACAACTCGACGAGTCTGTTGAAGATTTCCTTGGACTCGGCGAGTCAAGTCGCGAAACCCCAAACCCTTTGATTCAAGGCTCAATTTAGTGAGTTGTGTGGGGACTCAGTGAGTTGGACAGGATAGAACTCGAAAATCAGTGAACTCGGGGAGTAGGGTCAACATGGAAGGTTGACTTTGGCCAGGACTTTGACTTTGATCAGAGTTGAGTTAGTTGACTTTTAGAGGTCTGTCAGGCTAAGTGTCTCTTTGTTATTGGTAGCTCGGAGAGTTAGAGGAGCAGCGTTTCAGACGGTGGTTGGTTAGCAGTCTGAGGGTTACCAGCAGAATTCAGCAGTTCAGGTGAGTTTCCTTTCAGTAGGAACGAGTCTAAGGCCACAATGCCGGCCCGTTCAGTTAGCAGTAGTTTCTGGACTTCGGTTCGATGCAGTAGTTAGTATGTTTGATGCCTTCGTGGCTCAGACAGGATTTATGTGCTATGTGATATGTGTTATGTGTTCCGGGCTACGGCCCGATGCAATATGCAGTATATGTGTTCATGTTAGTTGATATGTTATGCCATGCTATGTTCAGTCAGTTTCCGGACTTCGGTCCGATGCAGGGGGCAAGGCCCCAGTTAGTCCGGACTTCGGTCCGATGTAGGGGACAAGGTCCCAGTCAGTTTCCAGACTTCGGTCTGATGCAGGGGTAAGGCCCCAGTTAGTCCGGACTTCGGTCCGATGTAGGGGACAAGGTCCCAGTCAGTTTCTGGACTTCGGTCCGATGCAGGGGGTAAGGCCCCAGTTAGTCCGGACCTCGGTCCGATGCAGTGGGCAAGGCCCAGTATGTGCTTTATATGTTATTGTATGGTATGTGGTAGTTTGGGGGAGCTCACTAAGCTTCGTGCTTACAGTTTCAGTTTTTGGTTTCAGGTACTCAGTTTTCAAAAGAGGAGCTCGGAAGGATTGCAGTGCACACACCATAGTCAGCTAGCCTGGGATGTTTTACTCTGATAATAAGTTTGTATTTCGAATTAATGCTATGAAATTATGTTATGATTTATGATACGGTTTTTATGAATATGGTTTTGGTAATGTTTTAAAAAGAAAATTTTAGTTGTGATTTTTGGGATGTTTCAAATCGACATCAATTCCCTATCTCCATCCGTTCTTCATCTTTCATCCTCTCATGTATTTCATTTCGTTTTTTTCTTATCAAGAATAAGAAAGACAACCATCATAAAAATCGATGGGTTTGGGTATGATTTTGGGGATAGATAATCTTCAAATCGTCTCCATAACTACTATTGGTGTCAGAGCTGACTCTTTCTTTTCAGTCCGCCTCCTCAAACCATAATCACACCACCACCATATATTTTACCCTATTTTTTTCATCATCACTATGTGTTCAACTAGTAAATTCATATCGGCTATTATACACTCTTTCTAAAAAACACTACCACCATTCACATGTGAGGTTGTGACCCATCACATTTGTTGCATCGTCTATTTCATCAAGGTTTGCACTAGATTTTTTTTTAGCAAATGCTGATGAATAACAATGAAGACAAAGGGGATGGATGCCTAAGATGCATAACACAGGTGAAGAATGACGATGTTGGGTCAGAAGAGGAAGAAAGAGATAGAAATCTAAGAGGGGGTTGAGGGGATGACATGGGTTTTCATCTTCCATCATTAGAGTTCTCAGTGTCATCGCCGATGCTTCCGTTCACAAATATGGACTAACATATGCCGTTGAATATAGACCGATATTCGTCATCGTCTAGAACCTTGAAACTTCCCCCGTCGGCCGTCGTAAATTAACGGGATTGGAGGGATGGATTTTGGCACCGGTTGGTTAGGTTAGAGAGACACCGATGTGTAATTTTGAGATCGAGGAAAAAGAATGTAAAGAATGAAGGAAAGAGTAGTGGGTACGGGTATGGTTAAGGTGAGTGTTTTTTCCTTTTTTTAAAGATAAATTTAATTAAGAAAAAAAATATAAAAGGAAATAAAAAGGGTATAAGGGATATTTTTATTGGGTCAGGCGTCAATCATGCAAGAAAATGAAATCATATGGACAATTCATAACAACAAAATTAACAAGGATTAAAGTTGTGACTTTTGGTAAACCACGTGGACAATTTATGCAATTTTGTCTATTTTTTATTGAAGAAGTTCTTATATTTTTTTTCCAATTTATCCCTTACAATTTTTTTTTTTTATTTACCCCTTATATTTTCATTTTTTTCTCGATTTAAACCTTATATTTTTTTTCATATTAAACCTCAAATTTTTTTCTTTAAAGGATCGTTACATATTTGTTATCTTGAAAGATTTCTTGCATTCGGTTCGATAATTCCATTGTAGATGCTTATAGCTTAATAATGGTTTGGAGTAAATCTAGAGAGATTGCATTGTAACTCCATCGCTTGACAATTGCATAAATTTCACTTGCACGTGGCATCATCGATATGGTGAAGAACGTTGTAGGTGCATGTAATCGTCTAGAAAATTTCAACCAAAGATACGTAACAATCATCAGTATGATCAAGGGTTATTCTCATTACGAGTCATAGGGTTCGATGATGGAAGAAAAACAACCCTTCCCCTCTTTTTATTCCTCTTCTTGCCAACAGATGTTATCCATTGTAACATCCCAAAGATCACGATAAAATTTTTCATTTTTCAATTAAATAAAATCATTGTTTCTAACCAAAACTCAAGTCATAAACCAAGTATCAAATACAAATATTCAAATTAGTGTATCATAAAATCTTCAAACATATCACCGAAGAATGTGTACGATCACGCCTTTGTCTTGCCCTGATCGTCAAAAGTACCAGAAACATAACACTTAAATTGTAAGCCCAAACTTAGTGAGTTCCCCCAAAATACTACCATACACAAGAAATAACAATATGCATGATGGGTCCACAGTCATCGGACTAGATCACCCCTGAGCCCACAACATGAGTCTGGCATGCCTTTTAGACCCATACTCATGTCAAGATTGCTCCCAAGCCCAAAACATAAGTCTGGCTTGCCTTCTAGCCTACAACTTATATCTGGCTTGCTCTCA